GGCTAGAATTATCAAGCACAGCATAAATACACCAGTATTGTACAAGTTATGCCTCCATTTGCTACATTTATGCTCAGTCAGAATCAATCCTTTCATCATCAGAGTTATTACTACTCGGCTGAAGGTCGGTGTTGCGGAATTGATCTACGACGTCACTTGCAATCTTGTCAGCCGCATTTTGAGCATTGCTGATAAGATCAAGAGCAGCCTCTACGCTTGTCCCGTCTGTAAAGCCATCAATGGCGTCAATTTCAATCCTCGGGTACAAGGATTTGGTCATCGCCAATGCCGTGCTAGCTCCCATACTTCCAGCTTTCTTGATATTCTTGAAATATACATCCGGAGCAACTCTCAGCTTGTCGAAGATTTCGGTTGCGTCGAGTGCACTCGGACCACTGTTATTGAGGAACATAGCTTGGACGAGTGGTGTAGCGACATTAGCGACTTCATCTCTTGCTCCTTCAAGCCTCTTGATCTTACCAACCAGGACGTCAAATTGAGCTTGAGATTTGATTTTGCGGTCTACAAAACACATTTATGATAAAAATCTACTGCATTAAAAAGAGAGAAGTTCAGATTGTCAGCTGGCAGTACCTTCAACCTCCTTCAAGGCCGAGTTCCTTTGCGCAGCCAGTTCTACCTTGTCTCTTTCCAGGGCTTCAATTTGTTTCTCCATTTGAGCCATCCTGGCGGCTTGCGCTGTTTGAAATCCAAATGGTTGAGGATACAGTTACGACAGCGTAAATTAATGGGACAGATCTAGAGATTACCTTTTGATGAACCACTCAGCTCGAAGTTTGAATCCTGGAGCTGAGCAATTCGGTCCCTTAATTCCTTCTCTGTCTTTTTGGCGAGCTCCTTGGCCTCGTGTAGCTGGTCCCTAACTGCTTCAAGAGTTCCCAAATGAGGAACCAGCTTTTCTAAAGTTGCGGTCTTGGCCTCATTGCGAAGATGGATTCTTTGCATGATGGTTCATGGTTTAGTTTTGCTGAAGAGAAAACAAAGTCATCAAAGGCAGTCACCCGGAAGATTTACATTCACAATGCGAGTGGCTTCTCCAAGTGCCTTCTTCAGCTGGCACACTTCCTCATCTTCTTTTTGACGATTTATGACGATGCCGGCAGCTTGTGAGTTCTCGTCCCACCATTTGAGCAAGATAGGAGGACGAGAGTCATCAGCCGCCTTTATGCGAGGAATTTCTTCTTCGTCATCGCCTGGTGGTCCTGATGTATTTCCAAGATATTAGACGAATAAGCTGAAGTTATTTAAATCGGCATCACTTGAGAAGATGAGTTACTTGAGGATGTTCCTAGCTGAGCGTGGGGTGATCCTTGTTCTTTATCTGGAGACCCAATCATCGAGTCGTTACCAGCCTCTGGTCCTTGAGAAGTTGTCGTCTGCGCTTCAACTTCGGGAGTTTCTTGATCTGGACCTACATCCGACTGGTTTCCAATCGGGGGCTCTTGGGTTGTTGTAGTTTCAGTTGCTGCCGACTGGTTTCCAGTCGGAGGCTGGTCACTCGGATTGGCCTTATCACCTGAAGTATGGGCGCCAGTCGGCTGGCTTTCGGCAGTCGGCTCAGAATCCTTGGATGAACTTGGTTCTGTCACAGTCGGATCAGGATCTTTTCCAGTTGGATCTATGTCGGATGGTTTCCTGCAAAGTGTTCTTTCAATATTCAGTATTATTTCCATGAGAGAAGCATGTTGAAGTGAAATGGTGCCAAGAGGTTTATACCTGGAAGATGTTCTAATCTTTGGCCTTGGACGACTAGCCAGTTTTTTCCTGGGAGTGGTATGCTTTGGGAGTTTATTGGGCGAGCCTTTGTCCCCAGATTTGTTGCCGTCGTCGCCTTCGTCATCATTAAGCACCAGCTTTCTCTTGCGAGAACCTGTCTGCCCAGTCGGATTGGAGATTTGAGGTTGCGGATCTGATCTGATTGTCGGCCCTCCACCTCCCTGAACGGTGTGCTGGCGAGGAGACCGGCGCTGAGTGATTGGGGGGTCAGACTTCATCAATACATATTCCTGAATGAGATGCCTCCACGGTTAGTTAACTCAACATGAAGACAAGATTATGTTTTGGTCATAGGTTGAAGATTTCGGATACGTACCTGCGGAGGCGGATTGAATGCGTTATATGGCACAACTGGCAGCTGATGTGAGTAGCTGACGACAATAGCATTTGAGAAGATTTTACACATTCTCTCCTTCATGATTTTAAAATCCAGAGAATCTGGTTCTTCACGATTAGGATCATGCTTGCCGTCAAACTCGAATACCGTACGGGATCTTTCTTTAATTGGTGCCAATCGGCATTTGATGAAGTGCCGAGTAATCTGCTCTCCTTGTAAGCCTTGTTCTTTGAGTTTTAGCATGCGATCCATCAGCTCCAAGGCTTGGGCTGCTTCATCCCCAATCGGAAGAGAGTTCCAGGTATCTTGGTACACCGGAGGAAGACAAGAGTACTCGGGAAGAGCAGGCTCAGGATTCTGAATATAAAACCAGTTTGCATGCCACCCTTTGTTTGAGGTCTTGAAGGGCATAGAGAAGTACTTCTGGCTCAGAGTCCCCCTCAGCTGAAATCCGGCCCCTCCGACTACACATGGCTTACTCTTGTTTGGTTGGGGCTTGAGAAAGAAGATTCGGCGAAACAGAGCGAAGTGGGGCTTAATTCCCAAGAAGGCTTCACAAACATGGACGAAATTGGCGATGTGAACTATGGAATTTGGGTTTAGGTGATGCAAGCTGATTCCATAGAAGCTTAATATCCCGCGGAAAAATTTTGAGGTCGGAAGAGCGAAGCCGCCATAGAAGAAATGGGAGAAGACTACAGCCTCGTGTGTATCGGGGGTCGGAAAAGCCTCACCGCACGCTGGCCGCCACCCGATGATTTCCTTGGCAGGGAGAACGCCGTGCGCCACCATCTCCTTCAGGTTCTCCTCCGTCACGTCGGATGGCGCCCATTGGCCTTCAAAGCTTTCCTTCTCTTCCGCCATTGATTTTTTCCGAATGCGCTGATTTGATTCGAGGGATGGCTAGGGAGAGGTGAGGGATTGAGGCGGTGGATCACGGGAAGGATTTTGATGAACTTTTCGAAGGTGGATTCGAGTGGAATGGTGAACCCTAGTTTGCCGGCGCAGCTCTGTACTGTAGCAGGGAGTGGGGAAAATGGCGAGAGTTCCGGCGGGGAAGATGAAGTGTCGCTTGGATCACGGGATTTCTTGTTAAGGGTATCGGAGGTGCGAATGGGCTTAGGCCTGAACAGTACCTCAGCCCAGTACTTTTAACAGCGTGGCCCATTGTGCTCCTTAGGGACTTAGGCATTTTTTGCTTTGGCAATTTATGCGCACAATAGTGTTGCCCAATGCTGATAAAATCCTTTTTACGCGGTCATATAATTCTTTGGAATTATTGCAATGCAAATTAAAAGGTGCCCGACAGAAAGGTGTTATGCTGTTTTTGTAAGCTTTTTTAGGCTACAAAAGCTGTCTGGGTTAACTTGGAATGACTTGTTTTTACCATAGTCATTTCCTTGGTATGTTATATGCCTGTTTTCATTATGGTAAATAGTCATAGCCTAGGCTATTAGACTTATTCATTACCATAATTTTTATAATATTTGGTGGGTAATCTTTAGAGTTTTCTATTCGGATGCCTGTCAAGTGTGTTCATTCGTGAACCTTTTAGAGTGTTAACCACTCGGATTCCTTTTAATTATGGCTAAAAAGCAGTCGGCTAAGAATGCCTCTTTAGGCGCCGTGTATGCTTTTGTCATATGATGCACGATTGTGCTATTATTTTGTTCTCAACTATATGTTTAGTTTGTTAACTAATCACATAGTTGGGGGCTACACCTAATTAGGTGCATCTATTCGATGCACCATATTCTTTATCTTTTCGCCCTTTACAGTCTTCGTCTTCGCTACTCGGCAGGCCTTGGCATGAAAAGTTTGAAGCACTCGGATTATTATCTTTGAGAAGGCTATGATGGTTGACTGCAAAGGTCTCGGGGGCTACTGTGGAGATTATGGATGTCCCATATCTACACGGCGATGATATTTGGACTGAATATAGGATACCGAATATAGATAGAATATCTTATTTGTATCTCGGGTTTGTTTCTCAACTTGTACATCAAGGAAATACCTTGAGACTTAGTCGGTTACGACTGTATTTTATCTGTATCTGCATATTCCGTTAGGGATATAGATTATCTTTTGTAATACGGACTCCTTCCCATATATAAGGGGGGTCCGGGTGCCTCTAGGGGCATGTGTTGATTTTCTCCAAATCATACAATCAATAAGATACTCGGCGGATTCATCCCCGGACAGGAGTAGGGTATTACTTCTTGAATGAGAAGGCCTGAACCTGTATAAATCCTTTGTCTCCAAACCCATTCACTTCTCGAGCTTGATAGCCACCCCCTTTTATTATTGCCGAAATCTAGTTTCGACAATTAGTTCAATTTATGAGTTTTACCAGAAGAAAAATATTAATATAGAAAATAGTTGCAATCGGTAATCTCACCCACAGGAAAAAAAAAGTCCTCATACATATGGCTCATAAAATCAACCAAACAAATTCTCTTCCAAACCGTATCTATCGCACAAACAACCAAACAATATCTGGTACGAGCCAGGCTAGACTGATGCAAACAACCAAACGACTGCGTGTGTATCCACTTAACAGGATAAACTCAACCTGGATGAGGAAGATGGGCCATGCTAGGAAGATGCGAGGAACCAAACACACCCTTATTGCGCGGGCATGTGCAAGCGTCATGTGCATGAATGCAGAGGGTACTCCGGGAAGAAAAGCAGTGGAAAAGGAACCACACCCTTTAAATTGGTACACCGTCAAAAAATTTACATGCCCTCTAAATTGGGACAAAGGGAGTAATAGTTAAGGTGACAGGTTTACCAAAATACTCAGTTTAGAGACATCACAAAATGTACCTGACTAATCAAGAACATTAGCATTCTTGCATATCACATATAACAAAGGAAGTGAAAGTTTTATTTCATTGCATAGTATTAATTGATCACCATTACATTATTAATGCAACACATTCCCGACCTAATTATTTGGAGCCGCATGGTGATAAGCATGATAAAATGCTTCCCTTATTCTTTTCCTGTGCCTCAGCAATTGCGAGACGCAGCAACTCATTGTCCTTGATGAGGACATCAATCTCACTTTTCTTTTCCTCCAATGCCGCCTTCAGTTTCCCAGCCTCTTCATCCTTTTCAGCCTTATAATTTTCAAGTTCCTCAAATTTTGACTTCAGCTTATATGCTTCAACCTTCTCAACATCTAATGCTTTCTGGGCTGAATTCTTCTCATCATTTAGGAGAGAATGCTTAGCATCAAGTTCATTATAGGATGCTTGTAGTTGCGATAAAGAAACTTGGATCTTCACCAACTCAGCCCTCAGCCTATCAGCCTCTGCATTCTTGTTGCGCCCTACTTCCTCAGCAGCTTCCTTGCTGACCTGGATTTCCTCTATCTTCCTCTTGAGGTCCCCCATTTCCCTGATGAATTTTTCCTTCTCAGCATCAAATGACTTCACAGCTGTCTCATTTGCCTCTGCCAATGCACCAAGTTCCATCTTGAGCCTTTTAACCTCCAATTCAGACATGCTATGTTTCTGCTCCGCTATTAATATCTCCAACCGAAGCTTATCCTTTTCACCCTCCACCAAATCCTTCTTGACCTGGATTTCCTCCATCTTCCTCTTAACATCCTCCAATTCCTTCGTTATTTTTGCTTTCTCAGCGTCGAATGCCTTCGTAGCCACCTCCTTTGCCTCCACCAATGCACCCAATTCCATCTTGAGATTGTTAGCCTCTACTTCTAATATGCTTTGTTTCTGTTGTGCAGATAAAACATCCAACCGAAGTTTATCATTCCCTACCTCCACTAAATCCTTGTTGGTTTGGATTTCCACCACCTTCCTCTTAAGATCCTCCAATTCCTTTAGGATTTCTGTCTTCTCAACCTCAAATGCCTTTGTGGTGATCTCCTTTGCCTCCTCTAGTGCTCCCAGCTCCTTCTTGAGGCTAGTAACCTCTACTTCAAATTGACCATGTTTCTGCTTCATACTTAAAATCTCTGACCGAAGCTCATCATTTTCACTCTCCACCAAAAGCTTGCTATCCTGAATTTCCTTAACTTTCCTCTTAAGATTGTCTGATTCTTTCATAATGTCTTCCTTCTCGGCAGCAAATGCCTTTGCAGCTGCCTCCTTCGCCTCCACCACTGCTCCCATTACCTGCTTAAGATACTTAACCTCTGCTTCAGACTGGCTGTATTTCTCCTCTGCTGACAAAAGCTCCGACCGAAGCTTACCATTTTCACTTTCCGCTAGATCCTTATTTGTTTTGATTTCCTCCAACTTTGTCTTAAGATCCTCTAGCTCCTTCGTGATTTCTTCATTTTGAGTGTCAAATGCTTTCGCAGCTGCTTCGTTCGCTTCTGTCAATGCACCCAATTCCATCTTAAGCCTCTCAATCTCTGCTTCACATATGTTTAGTTTCTGCTCTGCAACCAAAGCTTCTGACCGAAGCTTATCATTTTCACTCTTAATCATATCCATGTTACCCTGGATTTCCTCTAGCCTACTCTTAAGATCCACAGATTCCATCATCATTTTTGCTTTCTCATCATCAAATGCCTTTGCAGCTACCTCTTTCACCTCTGCCAATGCAACTAATTCCTTCTGAAGCTTCTCAACCTCTGCTGCAGACTGGCTATATTTTTCCTCCGCGGTCAAAACCTCCAACCGAAGCTTATCATTTTCACCCTTCAAGCTCCTCTCCACCTCTTCCTTCTCGCTTGAGATGGCCTGAACCGCCGCCTTCGTCTCCTCCAATTGCTTCTCCAGTTTACCCTTCTCGCCAAGCAGCCTGGTGTTTTTGTGCTCCAACTCCCACACCCTGTCCCCAAGTGTGGAGACTTGGTGTGATAGGGTCCTCACCCTGTCATCTGTGAAGATCTCTGCGCATATGTTTTAGAGGGGCATTAGAATCGCGAATAGATCATATGTATTTATACTATCATCATAAATAACTACTGGTAATAAAACTAATAAATCAACCATTGAGGCCATTTGTACTGGCTAATACTGCTAGTAGAATCTATCAGTATAACTATACCTATACTAATTTGACACTTTCTACGAGCTCCATATATATTAATCAGAAACATCTAGTTATTGGTTATGTGGATCGTATCATCATGATGGTAAGTCTAATCATACCGGTGTCTATAGATATTGTAAGAATCTTTTCCACAGAAATTAAATTAGCATGCGTGGAACAGAATTCAAAGGTATATAACCATACGTAATATTTGGATTGAACGCTCATGTACGGCTGTACCCATATGAATATTCGGAATTGCTATTGAAAGCAACTAAGCAGCCATGCCGTGGTGTCATGTTCGCATTTGCATATAATCTCAGACGTTCACCCATGATGGACGAAGCAGCAATTATGTTTTTCTCAGGTAAACATCTCCATTTACAAATTTCCCTTTTATACAGCTTGATTGAATACAAGATTGTTGGTTATTCATCACATTATCTTGCACTACGTTTTTACTTGAAAAATTTAGTAGCATAATTAGTTGCAATGTAAGACAAAGAGCAAGGAGTTTCTTTTAATATACTAATATCACTGTACGAGTACGTAATATACCGAGATTAGTCGAGAGCGGGCACATGCGAAAATGGTATTCCCTCCGGTTCCATATTTCTTGACGTTTAGAACAAGGTTAAAATCAAACTTTTATAACTTTGACTATCAGTAACTTTAAAGCTATTTAGTTTAAAGGTATTAAAACAACATATATAAATTTGTCTTACAATGTACTACAATAAAAATAAACTAACTTTATTAATTTATTGGCAAAATTTGCTACAGGACACTCAAAAGTTATGTAATTAGCTGGGGGACACCCGAAAAACGTGAATTTGCCTGAGGACACTCTAAAAGTGTGGTAATTTGCCACAGGACACTGGGCACATTAAAATATAATATCCACTGAATTGATGAGAGAGAAACCGCGTAAAATGACAGTTTTGCCCCTTCTCTTCTTCCCCTTCCGCTTGGCGCTTCCATTGACGGCACGCCCGCCGCCGCCACCGACACCAGCGCAAGCACCAACACCACCCGCGGCTCCATCCTGCGCCGCACCGTCGCCGTCTCCGACGCCGGCGAGGCAAGCCACCGGGAGAGCTAGCACGCTTGTGCTCTGCTTGACCGGAGATTGTGGAGGAGCCCCTTCCCTTCCTCCCCATCTCTCTCTCTCGTGAAAAATTTCCCATCCCAACCCTAGCTGCGCAGTCGGCGTGGTGAAGGGCAGCGCAGGCGCTGTGCAGCGCGGTGGCGTGGTGCTCGCACGAGGGTGCAGTGCAGGCATGGCGGTGTGGCACACGCGCGGCGGCGAGGCGCAGGCACAGCACGGGCGGAGCACTGGTATGCCACGGAGCTAAGCTGTTGGCAGTGTGCTTGCTGTTCCTGTAACCAGCTACATGGTGGAGATTTGGAGATCATCAGACAGTGTTTTGGCTAGCTTTATTTATGCGCACGGAGAACGATTTCAGATCACATGCAACACAGGATGGAGCCGTGGGTGGTGTTGGTGCTTGCACTGGTGGCGGCGGCGGGCGTGCCGTCGATGGAAGCGCCGAGCGGAAGGGGAAGAAGAGAAGGGGCAAAACTGTCATTTTACGCGGTTTCTCTCTCATCAATTCAGTGGATATTATATTTTAATGTGCCCAGTGTCCTGTGGCAAATTACCACACTTTTAGAGTGTCCTCAGGCAAATTCACGCCTTTCGGGTGTCCCCCAGCCAATTACACAATTTCTAGGTGTCCCAGGGCAAATTTTGCCTAATTTATTGTATATATTATAATAGAAAAACATAGTAAAATATATATTTTGGAGACCGTGTTATTATTCAAAATGTCAAGAATTATGGAACAGGACAGAGTAGGTTATTAGTTAATTACTCGAGCACATTTTGGCGGAGTTGTTTTTCCTAGTATCATTTGCTAAAAAGTATGGAGTTAGAGAATAATTGAATCTCAGATTAGCAGCATACACAAATGACCACAATAATCTTATTAGAGGACTTGATTAAAGTGAAGGTTGAGGCAATGCAATCTTCATCCAATTAATTTATTGGGTCCCACCTCATTAGAAATATAATATTTTTTTTGATAAAACTTAATGGTAGAAATGAAATATTCTAGGACAGAGGAAGTATATTATCTTTAAAAAAGTTAGGCCTATAAGAAATTCTAACATTAATTAGGACAAATTCTAACATTAGTTAGGACAAAGGAAAAATAATATGGCCTTCCACTGGCTGTGAGGTAGAATTAGAATGATATAGTAAAATATAATACATGTAACTGAAATTCCGAAGAAAATAAACACGCAAATATCAGCTAAATCAGATTAAAATAAAACAAAAATACATGTTAGTCAATTTTGAAGAAATACAAGATTCAAAATATAATACCACAAATACTACTCCGTACCTGTCAATTTGAATTTAAGGATCATTAAATCAAGGATATACTTAGTATAGCTTGATACTTGTTAATTCTAAAATTCCTTATTATTAATTTTGTAATAATTAATTTCCTAATTTCGGAATAATGTCAACGACTTCAATACAATAACAAATAGGCAATGACTAATTATAAATTTCTGTATTATTAAATCATAAGAAAAAGCATAATTGAAACTCCAAACGGAGTACAACTCAGTACTTTTTTTTTGACAGGGTACAAGTACTTATTAATACCAGTCACAGAATTATGACATCATGGAAGAACTATACTTGAGATTCCAAGCCAAATACAACTCCATATATGTTACATACAGAATTCAAAATTATTAAATGATTCAAAAGCTATAAACAAGGCGCCAAACAATACTCAGTACTTAATTATTAGTTTTAAATTACTGAATGAAGTCAAGACAAAAACTATACTGAGAGTACCATATGAATAAAAATCAGTACTTACTCATTCAAAAAATTTAAACAATTAAATTAAGAAAACAGATAGCAACAGATGGAATATTGCAACATGTTCTATATAATTTTTTATCACCAAGTTTTATTTATGTTAAATGACTAATAAAATTTATTAATCTTTCCACAGAAAATAAAATTTTTAACCAATACACCCGACACATAATTAAAATCATACGGTTTGTATAATAGTACTAAAAAGCCCGTGCAACGTATTTGTTGGCAACCTTTTGAGATCACCGTAAAAGTAATTCGAGGAGAGAAGAGAGATATGACCACCACACAACGCAGAAGGAAAAAAAAGATGTTGTCTTTGCCCACCCGCAAACCATGATGCGCTCGACGACGACATTGTCGGTCGTTGTTGTCACAAAGGTGCAGGTGGAAGATGCCTCGCTGTCTTGCTGTGCACCCGCTGAAGGATGATGAATGTTTTCCTGCCTCTGCCGAAGTTGCATCGTGAAAATTTATACAAGAGAAGGAGAACTAGAGGATGAAGTATCTATGACTCCCTTGAAGAAGAGGGAAGAATCAAGGGAGAGAAGAGAAGAAGTGTGGGTTCAGCAAAGGTATGGAGTGTCGATGGGGAAGAGTGATGAGTGAATATACGTTTTGTTTTGTACAAAGAAAATTAAACAAGGACAGAGGAGTGCTAGTAATTCAACAAAGGAGAAAAATCACCAGAAAAAAAAACAATATATGCAGAAGGAAGAAAGAAACAAATGAATTCTCATTGGAAATTAAATCAGCAGAGATATATCGATCGTTCATCAATGACTGCAATCGCATGGCATCAAATGTTTTGCTATTTTGATGCTGGCATATTTTTTTGTTTTCTTTTATTTTCTTTCCGTTCCGCGACATAGCTCGATCTCATTATTCTTATTGCTTCGATTGCAAGAAATCAAAGCCATAATGATTATATTCCACCCAAGGTATTGTACTAGCTAGTACCTCCCTTTCTTTTAAAGAAAGGCAAAATGGAAATTCTTGCATCTATCATTCTTTTTGCATATCCTATATGTATATGTATAAAGTTCATCTCCATTGGATGCAATTAAAGCTATTTTCCTTTCTTTTAATTGCACAACATCAAGTCAATAAATTTTATCTATTAGATCAAAATTTAGCGCTCCAAAGTACCTTTGTTATTGGCCACTGCCCATTCGATTTAACTTGGTCGGTTCAGATTGTTTCAGTGTAACACTTGCTTTTATTCCCTCAATTCAATTATCTCTATTCAATCCATAAGTCGATTGGTCACCAATTTTGGACTAGCGTTACCCATATGACATGTTAACGGTCTATTTCAAAAAAGAAGACTAAAAAGACTATACCACCCAATTATGTTATGATCATTAGTTCGTATTGTTAGAATAAGTATCGAATATACTAGTTCTATTTGGTTACAAATGGATTTATAGTTGTAATAGGTGGTAGGGGTATAGTTAGAGTCACACTCTGTAACCCAAAAATCTTTCTTAAATAGAGAGGGGGGCACCACAATATAACCATGTAGACTACAACGTAGGATAAACATGCAGGGAGATGATGATGACGAGGCCATGTACTCGTGGCAGCTAAGGTGCTATATTTATTGGGGAGGAACGCCCATAATCAGAGCCCCTGGGATTAGGTTTCGGCTAACCTCGTTAACAAATATCTTGTGTTCCTATATCGTCATCTGGCATGTCTTGGGTGATGAATAGACGAAGCTATTGAGAAGGTTAGTCGTCGTTCCGCTATATCAACTAACTTTTATAACAAGTAGTAATAGAGCCGAAGGTTTCATCAGATCAAGAAGACATGCGAAGGAAGAAACATGAAGTGCGGTCGTGCATTGACAGAAAATCATCAGTCATGGCAATGAGATTGATGGCGACAACAAGGAAGTTGTAGAGGCGATGACCTCACTGATGATTAGACCTGCTATGATGGAACGTGGCCGAAAGACGAGACCGAGCGTGGCCGAAAACGACTAGAGAGATCGAGTGATAGATCCATGGATGGCACGCTTAGCGTACGCGGTGATCGCGGATCTGTGGTGACAGGGAGGCTGCAGCGGCAGGGCACAACCAACGAGTGTGGAACTGTCACATCCTGATTTTCGTTTCAGGATTTATAAATTATTTAATAAATTATTATTAGAATTCATATTAAATGATCTTTAATTTACAAGTGAAGTTAAATGTGGGAAATAAAATTTCCTAAATATAAAGCATGGATGGATTTAATTTTTATTAAATTCTCCATGTTTAAGTCAACTCTCTGAGATTTTCTCGGATTTTTCAGAGCTCAATTCCTAAATGATACAAAGAACAGTTCAGTAATTATTTGATCAATAATGATCTAATTATAATTGTTAAGTGCTTTTCTTGTTTAAAATCCTTAAATTATAAATTGTTGTTTAAAAGGAATTATTAGAAATGATTTTAAAAGCCTAAAAGAGAAGATCTAATTTTAATTTGTTAAATCTCAACATAAAATTGGGCTAGATAAAATTTTGTTAAATACTTTGCTTAATTCTATAATTCCTAGATTTTTCTGGGATTTATTTGAGCTAAGGAAGTATTTTTAATAAATGGAATTGCATTTCATGAATAATTTAAATTGAAAAAAGTTTTTAAAAGTCTTCTTTTGGCTTTGGGCCGAAAGCCGGCCCAAAACCCTCTCTCTCTCTCTTTCCCTCGGCCCAGTCCGGCCCAATCCGCCGAGCCGCCGCTCTCCTCTCTCTCTCAGCCGCTGACAGGTGGGGCCCGTCTGTCAGGCCTGTCTTCCTCCTCGCGCCGCCGCCGCCGCCCGAAACCCTAGCGCAAGCGCCGCCGTCTCCTTCCAAATTCGGCCGCGTCTTTCCTTCTCCGGCCGAATCGATAGATGGGAAATAATCTCCTCGATCTCCTCTTCCTTTTCTCTTTTGGAATCGTCGCCTAATTCGATATGGAAGTCGATGGATTCGAGATCGAATCGGATTCCTCTCTCTCTCCCGAACCCGAAGTTTCCTTCTCGCCGCCGGCCGCCATGGGCCTTCGCCGCCGCCTCTTAGCCCCTTTAAAAGGACCCCCGGTGTCTCCTCTACCCGCCGCCTCCCTCGCCTTCGTCTCTCGCCATGTGTAGCGCCCTAGCCCCGTGAGCTTTTGCGCCGCCATCGCCGCCGTTCGTCCAGCCGTGCGCCGCCGTCGCTTCGGTCGTCGTCGTCACTCGGGAAGGCCACCGTCGGGATCGCCAAGTCGTCGCCGTCCTCGTCTGTCGCTTCACCGCCGCCGAAGACCGCCGGAGCACCGTCGCCGCCGTCGACCCGATCTTCGCCGCCGTTTTTTCCTCGTCGCCGGCGCCGTCCGTTGCTCTTCCGCCGCCGCTTTGGTCACCGGTGAGTTCGCCTCGTCGCCCTCTACCCGTTGGTGCCCTCCGTTCGCGTCGTCGAGCCGTCGTTCGCCGGCGAGCATGCGCGCCCGAGCCACCCGAGTCGCCGCCGGTGCTGACGTCATCGCTGACGTTGTCGCTGACGTCATCGGGACCGTCCGCCGTGAGCCGGTCGTGGACCGATCGATCTCGGCCGTCCGTTTTGGATAGGGTTGATCTCGGCCGTTCGTTCCCATGAACCGTTGCCGTGCACCCGGTCCACCGCAAACCCTAGCCGCTGACGCAATAATTCCCTTTTCCTTTTCAAAAATAATTCATTATTGCGTCATAATTCAATTAAAATCCATATAAGTGTTTTAATCCGATTTAATCTTTAAAAATTCATAACTAATTCATCTTAACTCAGTTTAATATGGTTCACGTTGCAAAAGTTGTATAAAATAAAGATCTACATATTAAAATTGTCCATAAATTGAATTAAATTTATTTAATTCTTTTTAAATGGGCTTTAATTAGATTTAATCTTGTAAAATTCATAATAAATTCTTTTGAAGTCAGAATGAGGCCGTTCAAGTCTCATAATTCATCTAAAATTATGATCTACATGTTTGTTTACTTTTTATGTATTGTTTATTTGGTTTTTATTAGTCTTTTTCTTCGTTTTGCGTGTTAGCTTGTCGTTTCCATCGTTGCGAAGGTTCGCGAGTGCGCCGGAAGTATTCAAGAAGATTAATTGAAGACCGATTATTGCAAGGCAAGTCACACAGATCCTAAACACAATCCTTTAAACATGTTGATCATATATTTAAATTCTCTATTTATTTCAACTGTGCATTTATTTTCGAATGTCACTGGGTGGTGTGAATCTATTCCTTTGTTATGGCCTGTTTGCATTGATTACTTTAATCCTTGATACCTTGGGTTATTATAATTTGACTAATTGAGCTTTATATATATTGGTTCAACTAGATATTAGATATAATTGCTTAGCCATGCTTAGAAACATTAGCACACTATTGGGATAACTCATGACTCACTGTTGTTTAATGATGGCTTAATGATAGTTCACGATGGTCAATCGTGATTGGTTAATTAATTACTTGCCAACTAAAACTTGATAATGGTGGGTTGTGAGCACATGGTTTTGAGAGTCGTGCTCATGACAATTAAGGACCGGTTCGCGAGCTACTATTGTGAAACATTAACCGTGCCAACCACAAGCCAGCGTGGGCAACGGCTTTACCTTTTGTATAGCATGATTCATTGCGGAGCACCAGACTGAGAAGTGGCGGAGATAAGCCCACGGGGGTCGCTGGGGAGTCCATGCCTCTGGTTTTTGAGGGGGTGATTATGATCCAGGAATGGTGCACTATGGTGAGTTGTGTTATGCAGAGGGTATTGTCACAGCCTCTATTCGGGTACTTTCCAGTATCGCGACGCATGGTAGACATGATGTTGAGGCTGTGTCTTGTGGGTACAGTGGTACACCTCTGGCCAGAGTAAAACTATTCGAATAGCCGTGCCCGCGGTTATGGGCGAGTTGAGCAATGTTTTTCGTGATTAGTCTCACACCTCTCACAATAATTATAGATGTTATACCTGGTAATAATTTGCTTAGCTCCTGGTTTGGAGTTAGATCTGTACAGCCGGGTATGGTTGTTCAGGATGGTTGGGCCTGTGCAGCACGGGTGTGTTGTTCAGTGTTGATTAAAATTTCTAATTAATTACTCCACTGTTTTACTTCTCTTAAATGTTTTGCTAAATGCTGCTTTTGCAAATGAGCCTATATTATGCCATCCTTTGGTATCCTTGTGCACTTGCATATTTGCTGTGTGGCTTGCTGAGTATGTCATATGCTCACCTTGCAATAATCAATCAACCTCAGTTGAAGAAAAAGGATCCAGAAGGAGAAGACGTTTGGCTTAAACCCCAGTTGAGCTGCCTGTGGGAGTGGAGCCGGAGCTTCGCTAGATTTTATTTTCCGCTGCAGTTTTCTTCAAGATGAGGACTAAGTGCCTTATAAGTAAGTATTTATCGTTTTAGTTAATTTGATGAATCTGTATATTAAATTGTCAGTTTGTGTACCTCGGTTGATTCCTGGACGAGGATCTTATGCACAAATAAGTTCGGAAATTACTAGTGAATTTCCGGGCGTGACAGGAACCATGTGGTGTACGTGCAGGTCTAATGACGACGGGGTCGTGAGCGGTGAACATAAGGGTATTCATAGTGCGTCCCACACAATACAATACAACTATCTTAACATACCAATACAAAACAAAAAGACTAGAATATCCTTACTTTATCAAATTCCAATACAACTATTTCTCACTTTATCTATTCACAATACAATTATTCTCTACTTTCACAAACTCCAATATACTTTCACAAACTCCGATGCTACGATTACTCTAAAAATGAACTTTTATTTTGGGACAAATGAAAGAAATTAAAAATGAACTTATTATGAGATGGAAGAAGTATATAGTAACCAACAGGATGTTGAGAGCCCAAACGTGTATAAAATCCTCGTGTACTGTTTTGTTTGATGTCCATGCTTTTGCTGATCATGACCTTCTATCAATAGACCAGGACACCAATCCTCACCAGGTATAATATGCATGTATTTATACTACCCAAGTGAGAGAGCCATGCATATATAATTGAAAAGATAAATTTGCTCCATGTATTACGATAAGGAATCTCACATTTACAGTTTATTTCTAAAAATTGTAAACCCATTCCAAAGGACCAATTTATTTTATTGTTTTCAAGTGGATAGAAACAGGTCGCACCAAAAGGGCCACCCTAGCTTCTGGACGATCCATAGAGATATAAATGTTTCAAGAAAGTATATCATCCAAATATTCTCCTTGAGCCTCTCAACTTCTGCTCCTGGCAGACTATGTTTTTGTTCTGCAGTGAAAACCTCTAACCAAAGCTTTCATTTTCAGCCTTCATGAAATCTGCACCCTTGATTTCCATCAATTCCCCCTTCATGTCCCCGGATTCCTTCTTGATTTAGCATGCTTTATTCTCCTCTACTAACACATCTAATTCAAGCAAGCAATGTTTCTGCCTGCTGTCAAGATCTCCAACTGAATCTTATCATTTTCATCCTTCATCAAATCCATGCTAGTCGGAATTTCCTCCACATTCATCAAATGGTTTTCCAATTCCTTCATAGTTTCTGCCTTTTCAGCACCAAATGCATTTGCAGCTACCTCTTTCTTGTGTGCCATTACCCTCAGTTCCATCATGAGCCTCTCAACCTCCAACCAAAGCTTATTATTTTCAATCATCACCTTATCACAGTCAGCCTCCAATTCCTGAATCTTTGCTAGAGCTGTCTTAAGCCCAGATTCCAAAGATGCGGCCCTCGCATCCATTTCTGCCTTCTGGACCCCAAGGACCCTCAATTCCTCCATCTTATCCTTAATTTTCTTCTCCGCTTCTAGTTGGTATGTATCGGCAGCATTCATGACCACCAAAACCGCCATCCTCGCATCCTCCAGGTCCTCCACCATTGTTTTAATTTGCTTCCTTGCTACTTCTTGGTACGTATCAGCAGCGTTTATTAACAGGAGGCCTGCCTTTCTCGTGTTTGCCAATTCCTCTTTCTTTGTTCTAATTTGCTTCTCTGCTACTTGTTGGTACGTATCGGCAGCATTCATGAACAGCTGGCCCGCCTTCCTCGTGTTCTCCCGTTGCTTCACTAGCTCACTGGACAGTTTGGTGTTTTGGTGCTCTAACTCCCGCACCCGGTACTCCAGTGCGGAGACCTTTCTTGAGGACTCATGAGCCACCCTCATCTTCTCATCTAATAGATTGGTGTTTTCATAACCCAACCTCCTCACCCTGCTCTCCAGGTCACGCTTCTCACTGGACAGTCTAGAGTTTTGTTGCTCCAACTGCCAGTTTTGGTTCTCCAACTGGCTTTTTTGTCTCTCCAACTCCAGCACCCTGTGGTAGTGCCACCACCAGACCCTGCAGCGAATGTTTGAGAGGGTATTAGAGAAGAGAGATGGGACGACCATGCTACGTATGTGCATGGGAATTGGATCGATTTGAAAAAATAAAAATGATGTCCACTCGAATACATGTTCCATGAAATGTTGTAGACATTTGGAGGAGAGAAGTTGATGACAAATTGCAGCTGCTGTTGTCAAGGACTTGTTGGAGGTCAAAGACGCCTTCCCGTGTCAATGGAATGAAGCTGCCTTGGGTATATATTGAGGGAAGAGGCATAAGATTGACGGGTGGAATGCGTTGAGTGCCTGTGAAGAAGAGGATGGAGTGTCGGTGAGGAAGAGAAAAGAAGCAGAGGGAAGGAATGGAGTACTGGTGAAGCGAAGTCACTATGAGATGGTTGTTGATATTTCTTAACAACGTTAATAGAAATATAATTTCCAGCAATGATGCTCGAAATATTACTCGGTATTCTTTACGGTTACAGATATAATCCGCAAGCGCTCGGATATACCGCTGTAGCATTTTACCTGAAAGTATTCCAAGGTAACATATTTATTTAATGCCATGGGAAGATATGGTAAGAGAGTACTATACTAATAATATATATCTCTTGTATAGATAAAGTCTAATGTAGGGATTAATCATTTTAGGGATAAAGATAGATTGACACACAAGGAACTAAACAAAAATATTCTCACTAAAATAATAATCTAAGCTAAGTGGAGAAAGAATAAGAAAAGAATCATTTATGTACTTATAATATATAATATATAGTCATTTTAGTCTACACTTGCTATTGTATAATTATGCAGCCAATAGCCCATAACTATGCCCTCCTAGTATATCGAGAAACCATCACTTATTGCCAAGTTCTTTACGATAATCTGCCATGGCCATCCAACTGGTAATAGATACAGAGGAGTACCCATACCAGAAAAATCTCTGAGCCTTATATACGCCATAGTACGAAAAAATCAGACCGGGCCAACGGTTGAACTGGAAAAAACCGGAACTAGCGACCTTGGCGGCTCAGTTCAGCAAAAAGATCGTCCCTAAGACAATATGCTCTATGCTTTTAGATTCACGATGTTCATAAAAAAGGGGGGCATGTGTTTAGACCCAAATTTAGCACCTATGGACGAAATAGGGGAAAATTGCAAAAGTTTGGAAAATGCCGGGTTTCCTTCACAGGGTCGGTTAGACCGCAGGTATGTGAGTGGTCTGACCAGATAGTAGGGCCGGTCTGACCGCAGGTATATGGCCGGTCTGGCCGCAGATATATGGCCGGTCAGACCGTCAGGGTCCCAGCCCAAGTCTGTTTTCATCGGGTCTCGAGTTTCCTTGCTTGGGAAGGCATGTTTCGGGTTTCCTTTGGTTTCTATCCCGAGTTAGACATGGAGGAGGGCCTGTAAAGGGCAAGACCAACCCCTATTTAAGAGAAAAGGCCGGTTCAATTGTAATCCCCCGAATACAATCTACTTAAATCGTTCTTTTACCATGTTTTCTATTTTACCCTAGTTTTAGTCCATCTTTGTCGATTTGCACTGTAAATCATCTGCCGCCGCTGCGAGAGTGCGACACCTCTCTGTAGGTTTGTCCTGGAAACCTTCCGTTTTGCCCATGAGACGGATAGTTATCCTCATATTGATCTAAATTGGTCTAGAGGCTGATTTTGATATCTAAATCGGCTCCGCTAGCCGGTTTAGCTGTTTTTCTAAAAAAACCCATCTTGATTTGACCGATTGGCAAGATCGAGGTGGTTGGCGACTCCATAGCACCGCAAAGCGTTTAGGTGTTGCGATCGTGCTTGTCGACTTGTCAAAAAAGTTGCCAACACACCCCTCCTTTTGTGCATGTTGCCTAAAAAAGATTGACGTGATAGATCGATATGAAATATATCATTTCATAAACATGTAAATTCAAATTCTACGTATATAAGTAGAAACAAAAATAACAAATTTTACTGTAAATAGTACGTACTGTTTATATGCATATTTGTTATTTTTTGAATTTGAATTTTTCATATTTGATAATATATATTTTATATTGATATATCGTATCAATATTTTTTTTGAAATTTTTGATACCTATCTAATTGACATGCAAAAATGAGGATAAATATACGGAAAAAAAATCAACGGAGTTGATTTGACTCCCAGTTTAACCCATGTATATATACCGGAGTATGTCCCCTCGTTGATTGCATATCATCTAAATAATTATAAAAAAATTAAGAAAAACATGCAAGACCAAATTCGATTTCTACTAGTTACAACAAAAAGAACAAATTAAACTGATAGTTATCATACGTTTGCAGTTATATTTGTTATTTTTGTTATAACTTCTAGAAGTTGAATTTGCCTTTGCATTTTTGTGGAGTGATATATTAATTTCATATTAAGCTATCTTGTATTTTTTTTTAATTTTTTTAGAGGATATGCTCTCAAGAGATGAAATCACTTTTCCATATATACCTGCCAAATCATCCATCCATTGGGATGTTCCGGTGTTGCAGACTTGTAGGCCCAAAAAAACAAAAATGAGACAGAGTCTACCTCAGTAAACTATACCATAACAGTAGCATATTCAGCACACTTAAAATGCTGCTTAGTTTTGTTTATACGATACAGCCCAGCGTGTTCAGCCAACAGCCACACCAGCGTGATGAGCTCACCACCACTGTTGAGCTGCTTCGCATGCGACTCCCTGCTGCACCGGTTGCCGGCGTACAGCAGCATCTCCACCCACACCTCGAAGATCACCGGCAACAACAACCCGCCGCCGCCGCCGTCCGACGACATCCGCCGCTCCTTCTCCTTCAGCAGCAGCTCGTCGGCGAGCAGAGCGCCGGCGAAGACGCCATGGCTCCTCACATTCTGATCGCCATTGTAGGCGTTGTCACGTAGCATCGCCGCCAGCTTCTTCCTCTCCGGCGTCCTGGAGGCGGAGGTCGGGTCGTCGACGTGCAGCTGGAACAGCTTGGTGACCATGCTTAGGACGTCGATGAAGCGGCCGCTGGAGGAAGAAGACGATGATTCGTGGGTGTCCTTGCGTTCCCGCCATATTCTGGCCATGTCTTCGCATGTCACCTGGTACAGCCTCCGGAGCACGAGGCCCGGGAGCATGTCGGGGCGGATGGCGACGAGGAACATCATGTAGTTGGACAGCGCGCGGACGGCCTCCGCGAGCCGCCGCGCCGCCGCCGCCCTGTCTCCGGCGTTGGCTATGGCTGCAGAAGATCGGTCACCGCCGCCGCTGACGGCGAGGTAGATGTCCGTGGCGACGTGCCAGGTGAGGATGCCTTGGTGGAACTCCTCGCCGAGGCTGGCGGCGAGGTCGCCGTGGAGTCCGTGGCGCCGGAGCGCGCGCTGGCCTCTCGTCGTCCTGATGGCGTCGAGCTCGGTGGTCGACATGGAGTCCACGCCCCTCAACATGTTCTGGATGTATCCGAACACGTGCTCCTTGACCTCGTCGGAGATGACGATGCTGCCGGCGTTGACGTGCCTGTTCCACCAGCTCCCGAGCCCGGCGGAGGCGCCCACGCGGCGGAACCCGGCGAATAAGAGGAGGGCGAGCTGGAGGGAGAAGCTGACCAGCAGCAGGATCTCGATCGCCCATTCGTTCAGGAGGTGCATCACCCCTCCTCCCGCCATTGTTGCTGGCTGCGCCAGCTTCAATTCAATGTCTACATGGACATGGTTAACAACCAAGTTGCTCACAAGTGTCCATCGTGTAATCCCAAAAAACTTGCAAGTTTCATACATGTACAGCAGTAAGAAAAAGGACTGTATCAAGTTGATGTGGTTGAGGGTGCCGTGGTTGAGAAAGTGATTTCATCTCTAGATGAGATATCCTCTCGTTTCATTCATGCCACTAAATAGGTATTAAAAAATTAGAAAAAAATTAGCAACATATATTAATATGAAATATATCACTCCACAAATATGCAAGTTTAAATTTAACTTATACAAGTTGTAACAAAAATAATAAATATAGTTGTGAACGTGCGATAAACTTGTTCTTTTTGTTGCAACTTGTACAAGTTGAATTTGGTTATGCATGTTTGCGGAGTGATATATTTCATATTCATCTATGTTGTTAATTTTTTTTATTGTTTTAATAACTATTTTATATAACATATAAACAACAAGTGATGTCCCCTCGAGGAATATATTAATCCACATCCGATGTGGTTGGTACTTTATGGAAGCAGCTACGTGAGTACCTAATCAGATGAAGTCCATTCTTATAGGCCCACACATCATAGTCACACATTATTCTGACGTGAAGTACTGCTCCATCTCTATTCTTGTTTTTTCCCTTCTTTTTTTGATAGTGGAGATATAGCTTTGACCATTATTTCATTTTTTATATAAATATATGATGTTTCGACGTATGTTCCACTATTCAACTTATTGATAAAAATCTGTGTAAATACAAAAAAAATATAATCATGCTAAAAATATCTTAAATAATAAAATATACCACAAAAAAATAAATAATACTTAACTTTTTTCAATAGTATGAATTGTCAAACATATGTCTAATAAGTGTTTTTATATTTAGAAGTAGATGGAGTATTACTTAATTTATCTGAGATGTAATATTTATAGCAACACAAATAGTGGTTTAAATTTTTAAAAGAAATATAGATGGTTGAAGTGTACGTTGAATGAACAAAGAAGTGTCGACTACGGATTTTAGAATATCGGACAGAAAGGACAAGAGCAGTACACTTCAATACTTCATAGACATGGTAAACGAAGACGTGAAAATATTCGGTCAACTCCATGTATCAACTAGGAGTAGTTATCTTCCTACTTTCGTGTAAACATGTTTTTCTCCCTTAATTAAGAAAATATCCCTATATTGTTGTATGTCTTCTTAAATACTCCATATCCAAGTTTTAAGTTTTGACAATATAACTCTCCATAACCAAGTTCAAATTCGACATGTATAAATTAAAAACAGAATAATAATCTTTCATTTGTCATTTGCAGATTTTATTACTACCATTTCTCACTGCTTCACGTGATCAGCAGCAAGTGACCATGTGATCATCATCCTAAGTTTATAACTATTGTCAATGAATAAATTGGAGAAGGGGGGATTAGTTAATGAATTCAGTTTCTATCATGTGTGCGTCGTTGTCTTTCGTGTCGTTGTTGGCCAGAGGCCAACCGGCCGGGTTCCGTTAAGTTCCACCAGAAAAGT